GGTCGCCTGGTCCTCCAGGTTGGGGGTTCGACTCGAGTTAGCGTCTCAGTAAAATGGTAAAATGGGATGGGAGTAATCGATCCAAGTAAATGGGCCTCCACTTCGCTTTACCCGCTGCTTTGCGGTTAGGTTCTTGTTAGAACTAAGGGCTTTGGGCGAGGACCCCAATGGTTCTCCTGCTTAGTCGCTGGACACTAGCAGTACCGTCCATCAAACTCCAGTGCATACACAACCAAAAAATAATTCCATATTGCATCGGTCGTCGCACAAGATAATCAGGACCGCGCTGCCCATTGCATCGAGCGGGGTAGGTAGTGATAAGTGGGCTACTGCTCAGATACCCCAACCATTGTTTAACTCTTTGTCTTCCGTTGCCAACCGTCCCCCTTTACCCTTTCTACCGACCTGTAATAGTCCCTCAAGCAACTTGGATGTCGCTCGCCAAAGGTCATTGCCAAATAGCACTGTAAGTGATTTACCACGGAATGGATTGCAGATTCTAAAGCCTCGTCAATCACTGAATCTGGGGGCCTTCAACGTGAGGACTTTGATGCAGCTAGGTCAACAAGCTTGTCTGGCTCGTACAATGGAATCCTTAGGAATCGATATTTGCTGCGTGTCGGAAACTCGGCCCAGGATCCTGCTACTCGAAGCCACTTGAGCGCGCCAGATTTGTCGACGAGATACATTCTTCGCACATCAGGCGACGATGAAGCTCGTTCAGTAGGTCAGCGCGGGGTAGGTATTGTACTGATAATAGGGCGGAGTCCTCTCTTATCGATTGGATCCCGGTCAATAGTCGTTTATGTGCAGTTCGTCTCCAGGGTTCAATCAGCGTCCAAAAGGGAAGCAACACTAAAAGGTGTTTGTTTATCGTATGAGCATATGCACCGACCAATTGCAGTTCTGATGCCCATAAGGACGCTTTCTACGATGAACTCACCGATCTCATTCGCATGAGTCGAAGCTCCGACATAGTTGTACTTGCAGGTGACTGCAACGTGCAAGTTGGAAAACTGAGCGCATCAGAAGCTTGCCTAGGTGATAGTTGTGCTCTGCCCCGCCAACGAACAGATAACGGCAATCGACTTCTTTAGTTCTGCGCAGACCATCATCTGTTCCTATCAAGCACC